AAATGAAGGAAGTTGAGATAAAAATGATTGATGATCTTAAGTAAAAAAAATTGATTAAGAACACAGATATTAGTATAGTATTCATATCTGAAAGATCCGAGACATTTATATCAATGTTGTAGACAGATACACGGTTTCTATGAATGGGACAGGTTTGTAACTTTCGTTAATATTTGAGTGGTAGTTTCAAACAAGTTTTCTGTTTTGATTTTCTTTAAACAATTTGAATGAACTTAATTAAATGCATCGCTCACAAGGAAGTATTTAAGAGTTATCCTGACCTTACAGTTGAAGTAATTTATGACAAGAGTTATAGTAGTTGAATGTTGAAGGGAAACAAATATATACATCATTTACTTGTAGCATATTTGACTAAAAAGAAAAATGTGAAAGGTAATGGTCTTGATCCAGAAAACTTACTCTCCATACCTTCCTATTCCAGAAGTTTTAATGGCCCAACCTCAGTCTGAAATATATACCAACGTTTTTTTTTGTCTGTCTTATTTTATAACATTTCTGTTACAGTATTTGAAATAAATATATACAATTTTGTCAATGTAGGTGGAAACATGTTATTTCCTGATGACAGACATAATATCATTCAAGTGAGCAACTTTAGTTTATCCTGTCCTGTAAACTGCCAGTGTGATTATAGGAATCTGTGAAAGCATGCTTGCCATACTATATCTGCCCACCAGAGGTAAGTCAAGTGTTTTGTATATTTTATAAGACCAGTAAGACAGCATATTCTGCTCAATGTGCCTTAAAGGGATACTCTGGCAAATTAATGTCAAAAATATTAAAATGATTTTATGAACTCAAATCATGCTAAAATGACATTTTTAAAATCCCAGCATCAATTTCTGTATTAAATTCTATATATTTTGGGTTTGAAGCGTAAATATACCTATATATGTTTAACAAAATTTAGAAGCTGACAGAAGCACCGAGTAGTTTTAAAACAAGTTATGTGACTTGAACAAACCCTGGAAGTTACAATAACAGATATTGTGGATATTGTATGATTGAAACAGGTCTAAGTCATTCAATTAACATGTTCTTTAACATTTCCAAAGTTCACTGTGACAACTATTGTGAAATCTTAACACTCTAACCTGACCCACGTGGATCTGGATTAAATACTTTATAATGAAAAAATCCTTTGACTGCCTAGTGTAATCATTTTGAGGACATTTACAGAATAGTGAATGAAAAATTCAAAACGAAGAAATGAATCTTTATCTCTTTGTCTCCCTTTAAAGTCCAACTAATCGTCAAAAATATTTGTACTGCCAAAATGCTTTTTTTAAGTGATTTTGTCCTCTCCCTGTCAAGACCTACTATAATTTTGTGAATAAATGTTTAAGTGTATCTAATAACAATAATACAGTTGAGCCGCGTCATGACAAAACCAACATAATGGATTTGCGACCAGCATGGATACAGACCAGCCTGCACATCCGCGCAGTCTGATCAGGATCAATGCTGTTCGCTTACAAACTCTATAACAAGTAGAGAAACTGATAGCGAACAACATGGATCCTGATCAGACTGCCCGGATGCGCAGGCTGGTCTTGATTCATGCTGGTCGCAAACCCATTATGTTGGTTTTGTCATGACGCGGCTCAGTTTATTTTTATATATTTTTTCATCTTTAATTTCAGCTATTAGAACGGACATATAAAGCTGATTGTAGATCAGATATTTGGGGTGCTGGTTGCCTGTTCTATGAAATGTTATCTGGTACACCATTTCTATATGAGCATAGGCACGAGGAGAGGGACGTTATACACAGAAAAATATTTTCTGGTTTGTTGCCAAACACTGACACATGGAGTATAGAAATTAGAAAGATTTTGAATTCATGCTGGAAGGTATAATTTTTTTTAGCCTCTCTAAATTTAAAAAAAATTCATACAAATACTGTCAAATAACTCTGTAGGAGAGTGATTATGGTTGTTGACTTTGAACCATTTTCCCCTCACTGCTGTGGGTATGAATCCCACCGGGAACTTTGGATTGCTTCATGTAAGGAAGCTATCTAGCTAGTTTGCGGAATGTCAATAGTTCTACTCTTGTCTGAAATTATGCACAGAGGGGTATACCGTATATGAATTAAAGCTGGAAAGTTGCCAAGTGACTTTTATCCCAGCATACAAATAAGCTGAATGGCATAGAGACACGTCACATTTTTTTATTAGATCACTATGTTTATCTATCTGTCATGTCTTGAAAGGATATAAGGTATTAAATAAAAAAATAATATTAATTTAGACGATTGCTGTTTTTTTTTATGAAATCTTTTCAAACTTAAACTTTAATTGAAACTTAATTTTTTGAAATATTAGACATGATGTTCCTATACATTGTATGTATCTTAAAGCATTTTGGAATGTTTTGGTTCTGCAAATGGTATAGTCCATGTAGTCAGGTCACTAGCATTTTATATTAGCCATTTCCTTTCTGGAACCAGAAGTGTTTAGCTTTTTCATCAGTATAGAACCAGGCCAGCACTCACATCCATGCATTCTGACAAGGCTTTAATATCTTGCTAGCTCAGAGTTTGAATTTTCTATACTCACATTTCTTGAATTCAAATGGACTGTTCCAAAATTCAAAGCATGGCAACTTACAAATCTCAAATTTAGCAGGTTAAAGGTTAGATGCTTTGATAAGATAACTATCATGTTCAACCATTTTCAAACATCTAGATATAGCCTTGGTATACCTCTATATCTTAGGTATATAGAATTTGTATATTTTTGTTTTCAGGCAAAGATGGAAGATAGAAAAAATTTGGACATTGTTCTCAAATACATTAAGTCATTGAAAGTCAAATGAAGGTGCACTTGATGTAATGTGAAGGGGATGCATCAACAGATTCCATTTCTTGTATATTTTTCTGAATTTTTAAAGACAATAAATGTTTCAGGTATTTTTAGTTTGGTGTGCAGACCAATTAATATTGCTTTTGGTCTGTCTGTCACAAAACTTTGAATTTAACCATAATTCTTACAGCCTCTAAACTACACAGGTGCTTGATAATGAGTTCTACTAAACAAAGGTCCCAGAGGTCAAGGTTACTTGGGTCAAGGCCGCCATCAGAGTGCATGACATTCATTTGGACAGACATAGTGCTTGTCTGAATTTATTAGGAAAGATACATTGTAATTTTAAAAAACTACTGAGTTTGCATTGGGACAGAATGAATTTTTAGGCAATTTTTATTTAGTATTTATATAAAAGTCACATATTGGAATTATAAAGGGACTAGGGTTGGATATCGTTCTTCACGAAACAGTCCGATAACGGTACTGACGAAACGATACGGGTATTTTATCGATACTGATACTTTTACAATACCAAACCCGTTGCTGCAAGTATAAGAACTGAAGAGATATAACATGTAGTAATAGAAAATAAATATGTTACATTACTGGTCTTTCTGAAATTTCATGCTGTAAAGTATACTTTTCTTTTGTTGTTTTGTGTTTACTCTTTTTTACAACATTTACACATGTTAATTGTAAAATACTTTTACTTTTTCATCAAAAGAACATGACATAATTTAAACACAGCAAAATATCTTATGCAGGACAGCAGTCTGCAGCTGAGAAGTCTACAAATTATTGTTTTAATCTTGATATCTCTACATGCTACATCTGAAAGAATTTAAGACAGTTGGTTATCTATTATTTTCTTACAGCTATTATTATTACTGTGTAAAAATTTTATTCTGATGCTGATATTCTTTTTAAATCACATTATTGTTTACTGTAATAAATGAAATCACTGGATTGGTTGGCTTACTTTGCAATTTGGAATTACATGTAAGAAATTTCATTAGATGTTTTTTCAAAGTCACTTATGTTTCCAGTCTGTTCTACTACAACAGCACAAACATATTTTCCACCAGTAATTAACTTAGAAATTTTGAAAAACATGTATATGCACAGTCAGCACAGACTGTTTCCAAAATGACTTGTTTACATTTTCAAGTTAACCTAATATTAGTCCTTGTAGAAGTCATAAAGCAAATACCTATGCTTTACAAATAATAAGGATTTGGTATTTATTAATATTGAATTTACCCTTCAATTTTATACATCTTTTATTTTTCAATAGCATGCACCGTGAACATCTTGCTACAGAAAAAAGTATTGTCCTTACCAAATTGCATAATTCCATACTGCTCAAATACGCAAAAATACTAGCCAACATTTGCAAAAAATCCTACAAAACACTATAAAATTATGAAATATGTTTCAGTTGTTTAAAGTATCACAGATCTAAATGTGTAATACACACAAGTTGACCTTTGACAGGTGCATAATAGGCTATTCAAAAGAATATGCCTCCCTTTGATGTTGTTACTCTATCACCATCAAAGAGCCGCCGACATTCACACTTTTTTATTGAAGTTCTGTCAGCATTCTTTTGTTAAGAAAATGTATACATGTTTAATAATAGTTCAGTGTTACACCAAAAACAATAGGAGGCATATTTTGTTGGAATATTTCGGCCTCATTTATGTTAAAATCGTAATTCACATGTGGATTTGTACATGTGGTAATGGATGAAAAGACCTGGAAACATTAATATGTATTCATTATGAGTGTTTAGAGACTTAAACTGAAAAAAGGATTTAATTATTTTTTAAAAGCATTCTTTGAATTAACAATTGTCATATGTTGGATTTACATTGTCATTACGGCTAAAGCTGTGTGCGATGTGTTTGGAAGGACTGTGTGCGATGTGCCGATGATTACTAAAGTATTTGATTTGTTTTCTCTTTGTTTCTTTGACATTTAAAACTTACAAACTTTTAGCAAAATCAGTTCAAATAATTATATTTTCCTGCCGAGTACAAAAATATTATTATCTTGAACATAAGCGGCACAATACTTTTACAAAAATATCACCGCGTCACAAACTTCAAGTTTGCCGCGAAAGCCGTACTCGCCGCATGATAATAGTAATTCATAGTTTGTTTTACGTGTTTGTAGTAGGCTGTTTTTATTTAAAAATCTTCTTATTTTTTTGACATATTGACTATTAAATTATTTTTTTTTACAAAAGTATCAAATCCAGTACCGGTATTTTACGAAACGGTATATACCGGTAATTTACGAAGTTACTATTCGGTATAGGACCGATACCGGGAACCGGTGTCCAACCCTTAAAGGGACATTTATGAAACAGGAATAATTTTATTCATCATGAAGCATAATCTGCAAGGAATCTGTATTAATCTTTAACAATATCCCCTAGAAATGCTGGCAATAATTAATTTATCATAAAGAACATATTGAAACCACTTGGTAGAATGTCCTGTCTGGTTGGATACTATGTTCCATGAACATCACTTTACTTTGTTGAATTTTCTTTTCAAATTTTTGATGTGTGAAGTGCCATTATATTTGTTATTCTGTTTGCTCTTAGTTTGTTTTTGTTGTTGTTGTTATATGTGATATACTGTTCCATCATACGATTCATAATCAAATGTAAATTTTTAATCACAATACTCTATCTAAATGAGAAATGTTGTTTTCAAAAGAGAAATTTTATTGAAAACAAATATGATAGTGGCCTGTTATTTATTGATGTTCTGTATATAAAATGTGGTCTTTATATCAAGTTTGTCTATATTACTAATGTGAAATTGTCACCTTGGTGCAGTAACAGGTTAACTCCTATAAAATTATTTTAGGTGTTTAGCCCGTTAATGCTCTTAGATGGCAAAATATTGTCCCATATTGTGGGCATATTATTGTCATATATACATACATCCATCTTAAATGTCATCACATATTATGCAATAATTATATATTCTGTAATGTTTTATTTTTATCATTTCATAAGCTGCTGGTTTCAGAACTTCCCCTCATTTGTTTGTATACAACATTTTGACATATATTGTACTTGTAGATTTAACATGTACGTTATTTGATCATCACAATTAAATTAATATCAAACATGTGTATAGCAGATCTACATGTATATACATATCATTACCTGGTGCAGTGGGATTTTTTTTATTATTCATTTTTGAAGTTCATGCATAGATTGTATATATTGTATGTATATATTGTTGACACCAAGTTGCTACATTTGTATATTTTTATGAAATATCTGTTATATAATTTATATGATTATTCACGTTTTATGCATTCTTTCCATTTTTATACCCCCGCACAACAAAGTTGTAAGGGGGGTATACTGGAATCAGCTTGTCCGTCCGTCCGGCTGTCCGTCGGTTTTTTCTTGTCCACCCAATAACTTAAGATTCCTTTGACCCTTAGTCTTCATATTTGGCATGGAGGTTAGTCATGATTAGTAGATGACCCCTATTGATTTTGAGGTCACTAGGTATAAGGTCAAGGTCACAGGGGCCTTGACTTCAAAAAGCTTGTCCGCCCAATAACTTAAGATTCCTTTGACCTACAGTCGTCATATTTGGCATGGAGGTTAGTCATGATTAGTAGATGACCCCTATCGATTTTGAGGTCACCAGGTCAAAGGTCAAGGTCACAGGGACTTTGACTTCAAAAAGTTTGTCTGCCCAATAACTTAAGATTCCTTTGGACCCACAGTCTTCATTTTTGGCATGGATGTTGATCATGATTAGTAGATGACCCCTTTTGATTTTGAGGTCACTGGGTCAAAGGTCAAGGTCATAGGGACTTTGACTTCAAAAAGTTTGTCCACCCATTTATGACCCACAGTCTTCATATTTGGCATTGATGTAGATCATGACTATAAGGTGACCCCTATTGATTTTGAGGTCACTGGGTCAAAGGTCAAGGTCACAGGGACCTTGACAAAAAAAAGCTTTTCTTCTTAATTGTTAAAGAATGTCCTGTCAGCAATGTATTGATTTTGACATTTTCACATTTGAAGCATGTACAATACATAACTTAGCAATGCACTGGCTTAGTAACCTCAGATTTGGCAGGGAGGTTGTCCTTGAGCTCTAAATGGCCACTGTTGATTCTGACAAAGTGGTATGCGGGGGTATTCACGCCATGACAGTGGCAGTTCTAGTTGTATTTGAACAATTTTTTTTCTAACCAATTATACTATATGGTCCCATCCATTTTTATACACATGCATAATCTAAGCACAGCATGCATATTTTGAACATGCCCGTAACGTAAAGTTTAGTAATGTTCCATATCTTAACACACCCATAATGTAAATACAAACCCACCAATCTGAACACAATCATGATTTCATCTCAACCATATTCTGAACACAATCATAATGTAAAAACAAACCCATAATCTGAACACAACCATGATTTCATCTCAACCATATTCTGAACACAACCATAATGTAAAAACAAACCCATAATCTGAACACAACCATGATTTCATCTCAACCATATTCTGAACACAACCATAATGTAAAAACAAACCCATAATGTGAGCACACCCATAATCTGAACTTGACTATGTTCTTAACACAGCCATAATATGAACACAACCATATTCTGAACACTACTATTATGTGAACAGAACCATAATGTGAATGCACTGTTAATTTAAAACCACATCCATATTCTGAACACATCATTAATTTGAACACACCCATATTCAAAATACCCCTTTTACATTATTGCATATTTATTATCATTATTATTCAAACACATGTTTTCTCATTTTATGAATAATAATGAATTAATTTTGTATACATTTCTTATACAACTATTGTTTTTGTACTGGATACTTACTTTAGTTACAGTGTTTTACTAATTTTATTGTTACATTATTGCTGGTTTCTGTTTGTCAATAAATAATATACATTTTTGTAAATATAAATTAATTTTATAAATTTATGAAATAGAAAGAGGCAGTACAATGAAATATGCCTCTCAAGTTGAATTATTTAGAAGGTTTCCATTGGTGCCATTTCATGTAAGCGTTGTAAAATTCAAAAGTTAAAACATTTTCAAATCAGACTAAAATAGGGCAAATGACATTACTATATCATATTATACAACAAAATGGTAATATATATTAGCAGTACTTTGTAATAGAATATATAGAGGATATTCAAGTTTTTTCTATAAATACATGATTTATTTTCATCGAGTGGTATGAAAATAAATATTTCATGAGTGGCGGTAGCCACGAGTGAAATATGGTAATTTTCATGCCACAAGATGAAAATAAATCATGTATTTATAGAAAAAACTTGAATTTTCTGTTTATTATATACATTTTTCTCTTTTTTGCTATAAAATTTGAAAGACTTTCCCTTAAATTTTGCGTACTGGCAGAATTTAAAAGAAAGTAGTCCGGCAAGACACCAGTGAAAATACGGAAAATATGTTTCACTGCAGTGAAAAATAAATTTTTACAGTGAAAATACGGAAAATGAAAATACGCATTTTATTTCATCAATATTTCTCAATATTTCATTTGTAAGTATATAATAAATATAGTTGCAGCAATGTTAGTTTGACATTGTTATATAATTTCAGCATAAACAACATACAAAAATTTGAACAAAATGGTAAAATCTTAGATAACTTTGTTTAATACTAGTATTTTGTGTTAAAAAAAAAAATACTTTTTAACTTTTTATTTGTCATATAAAACAAACTTTTATGAATGTTGTCCAAGGAAAAATGTTAAATTTTTTTGGCCAGGGCTTCCCGGTGATTACAAGTGCAAGATACTATATACATGTGGTCACTTTGTTCTTTAAACATAGATCAGCATTTGTGGAGGTTCAAGTTTTAATTTTGTTATTTTTTTTATTAATCATTCCATAAGAGCAATTTTATATGTAATGGTTCATTTTTGATAAAACATGTGTTTTGTTGTTTTGGGCTTTTTTAGTGTGTGGCTGTTTTGCTGATACTATAATGTGGGTTCATGTTAAAATATAATTGAGCTGTGTCATGACAGCACCAACATAATGGGTTTGCGACCAGCATGAATCCAGACCAGCCTGCGCATCCGCACAGTCTGATCAGGATCCATGCTGTTCGCTTACCAACTTTATTTCAAGTAGAGAAACTGATAGCGAACAGCATGGATCCTGATCAGACTGCACGGATGCGCAGGCTGGTCTGGATCCATGCTGGTCGCAAACCCATTATGTTGGTTTTGTCATGATGCTGCTCAATTGACTAGCAGAAGGTAGACTGGTGCCTGTATATGCCTGAACAAATGGATCGGATTGAATAAACAAGAGGGCCATGATGGCCCTGAGGTCGCTCACCTGTATATAGCCCCCCCCCCCCCCCCCCCGGGCCAATTTTTACCCAAGGGCTTTTATTTGTTTATTTGAACAGACTTGGTAGACACCCATAAGAAGATGTTTCATGCTAAACATCTAAGTTCTAGCTCATTGGGTTTTTTAAAAGAAGATTTTTAAAGTTTTTACTATACACATATAGTAAAAACAATGACACCCCTGGGGCAGGGCCAGTTTTAACCCCCGGGCTTTTATTTGAACAAACTTTGTAGATATTTACTTAAAGATGTTTCATGCTTAATATCTAAACTCTAGCTATTTGGGTTTTTTCAAAGAAGATTTTTAAGTTTTTGCCAAACACATATAAGGAAAATCAATGACCCGCCGGGCGGGGCCAGTTTTGACCCCAGGGCTTTTATTTGAACATACTTGGTAGACACCCATTAGAACATGTTTCATGCTAAATATCTTAGCTCTAGCTTATTGAGTTCTTTAAAAGAAGATTTTTTAAGTTTTTACTATAATATGCATATAGGGAAAATCAATGACAACCTGGGGCGGGGCCAATTTTGACCCCAGGGCTTTTATTTGAACAAACTTGGTAGACACTCATTAGAAGATGTTTCATGCTAAATATCTTAGCTCTAGCTCTTTGGGTTCTTTAAAAGAAGATTTTTTAAGTTTTAACTATATGCATATAGGGAAAATCTATGACCCCCTGGGGCGGGGTCAATTTTGACCCTAGGGCTTTTATTTGAACAAACTTGGTAGACATTCACTAGAAGATGTTTCATGCCAAATATCTAAGCTCTAGCTCTTATGGTTCTTTAAAAGAAGATTTTTTAAGTTTTTACTATATGCATATAGGGAAAATCAATGACCCCCGGGGCGGGGCCAATTTTGACCCCAGGGCTTTAATTTGAACAAACTTGGTAGACACTCACTAGAAGATGTTTCATGCTTAATATCTTAGCTCTAGCTCTTTGGGTTCTTTAAAGGAAGATTTTTTAAGTTTTTTACTATATGCATATAGGGAAAATCAATGTGACCCCCTGGGGCGGGGCCAATTTTGACCCCAGGGCTTTTATTTGAACAAACTTGGTAGACATTCACTAGAAGATGTTTCATGCTCAATATCTAAGCTCTACCTCTTACGGTTCTTTAAAAGAAGATTTTTTAAGTTTTTACTATATGCATATAGGGAAAATCAATGACCCCCTGGGGCGGGGCCAATTTTGACCCCAGGGCTTTTATTTGAACAAACTTGGTAGACACTCACTAGAAGATGTTTCATGCCAAATATCTAAGCTCTAGCTCTTAGGGTTGTTTAAAAGAAGATATTTAAAGATTTTTCTTTCGGTTGCCATGGCAACCAGAGTTCTGCATGGAATTAAATTCTTTGAACAATTTTTAAAGGTGACCACCAAAGGAACATTCCTGTGAAGTTTGGATGAAATTGGCTCAGTGGTTTATGAGGAGATGTCATTTAAAGCAAAAGTTTACGGACGGACGACGGACGGACGGACGGACGCCGGACGAAAAGCGATCACAAAAGCTCACCCTGTCACTTTGTGACAGGTGAGCTAAAAACCATTTTTCAGTTCAGTTCTATATTTTGTATGTTTAAACTATTGAAAGGAGTTTTAAAAGTTGCTTTGTGTTTTCCATCAGGTGTTTCTTGGTAAAAAAAAAACATGTTCTGTTGCATCTTGAAGTCTTCTTTCACCACTATCTTTATATCATTGTGTTGCCCTTAATTCGACCCTATCCTTGAGTTTACACCATTATTTTCTGTTCACGTCACAAAATCTTGTCAGATGTTAGTTTTGAAAGAAAACATTTGGATAATTTTTAAACATTGAAGTTTATGTTTCTGCCAAATTTCTTCAACATAAAAAATTTAAGATTATTTGAAAATACAGTGCATCAAACTAGCAAAGTGAAAATGCTTAGGGTAATGAAGCATGGTCACCAATGAATACTTTTATAAAAAGTGTATACATGTATATACAGTTATGTTATATTTGTGTGTGAATGCAACAATCATGTATTTTTAGAAGAAATAATATATCAGATGATTATTTTTTAATTTCTCTGAATAAAATAGTACAAGAGATGGGATAAAATACTATACAAATATGGACTTTGCAGCTGATGAATTGATATATGTATTGAAAAAATTGCGGAGGTCAATATAAATATTTTTAATGTACAAGTCATATCATATTTACCAGCTAAAATATCCATGTTTGATAACGTTTTTATTTGTCTGATCAATTCTGTCTTAAAAATGCTGCAAATCAACTAAAATACTACCGGTACTTTGACTTTTATTTAAGTATTTTGTCAAAACAATGACAACAAAACAGATGTGACATTTAGTGACATTTAGTGATATTATAGCATCTTTGACGGTTTTACAGAAAATCAGTTTTTAGGGGAAAAAATGGTTAATATATTCTGAAAATCATTTGAAATAAAATGAAATAAAAAAAATCTGATTCTGACCTGTTATTTTTTACAAAGATTAAGTCTTAACCAATCAGATAAAGACATTTCATAGCTTTTTATAGATTATATAATAAATTTGATTGATTTCAATGTACAATGAAGGTACTGGTTTTATTTTTTTATATTATTTAATGATGGTATTTTAAAAATCAGTTGTATGCATTGAATCAGTATTAAGTAAACATGTGTATTTTTATAGAAAGTTTTTAAACATTTTAATTTTTTTCAATTTTTTTTCTTTTTTAAATTAAATAAATAAGATATGGGAGATTTATATCTCCAACCATAGAATTTTTAATTGAATAAAGTCAGATATAATTTATTAATACAAGAAATACATTCTGGTGGCTATGCTAAAGAACTTTGAAAATGTCTACATTTAATATTGCAATGTTAACTTTTATAAGATAATTATAATATACACTGTAGATCAAGTGTGAAGTTGTGTTGTAGTTCTTTGTTATGAGATATTTATATAATTGTTAAGCATATTGAAAAAAAAAATGTTGCTATTTTCATCAAATAAAATCATTATATGACAAACCTTTATTTCTCTGTTTTCTTTTCCATTAACCATTTTTTCTGCTTGAACCAGCAGTAACTAGTCTTTGCCAATAGAATAGGGCCAGCCAGCCTGTACATTTGTGCAGTCTGACCGAACTGTATATTATTGGCTGACAAAGTTTAAATTGAACCTTGATATCAAGCTTCATGTGGAAAAGAGGTTGCTTTTATAGGTTACAGGTTGAGGCCAGCCATATAACCCTGCATGATTGTAAGAGGTGACAAAATGAGCCATGTCATGACAAAACCAACATAATGGGTTTGCGACAAGCATGGATCCAGACCAGCCTGCGCATCCGCACAGTCTGATCAGGATCCATGCTGTTCGCTTACAAACTCTATAAAAAGTAAAGAAACCGTTAGCGAACAGCATGGATCCTGATCAGACTGCGCGGATGCGCAGGCTGGTCTGGATCCATGCTGGTCGCAAACCCATTATGTTGGTTTTGCCGTGACACGGCTCAAAATCTATAAATGGAGTCTTTGCATCTCTAAACTCCAACACATGAAGTGGTTTTGATCCCTGGTAAATAGTTACTTAGTTGTTGTTGATTGAAAAGAGCATGATTAGTGAGGCTAAAATGGTTTCTTCTTTGTTCTAGGGTTTGCTATTTTCAGGCTAGTTTTATTATGATTACAGTTAACAAGATCTCTTTTTATGACAGCCTAATTGACTATTCTTAGTGCTCAGTAGTGAAACAAAGGCATGACCAAGCTGTTAATATGTCAGACCAGTAATCTAAATATCTAGCCACGAGGGTTCAACAAGCTGTTGTTTCCTTGAGCAAGAAACTTTATTTCAATGCTACACTCATTGCTCAGTACTGGTTGGTTCCAGGTACAGATTAGAGAGTATGTTTATAAGCTTATAGCTCACACACAATTGAACTAAATATATTCTGTATAGAATAAACAAATGCAAGTTTCAAATCGGGAAAGGGAGATAATTATAACATTAAAATCCACAACAGTTGTGTAATCCAAGACGATGAAAGTCATAAAGAAGTTTTTCTTGCATATCAGACTGGTGTTTCCGTTAGTTTTACCCATGCCTGAAATTTCATCTGGCATGGGGGATGCCAGATGAGTAGCATGCTATATAATGGCATGCTTAGGATGACATAATTTCGCTCATACGAATGAAGTTATTTTATATGCTGTTAAAAGAAAATAGTTACGGGTGTAATGACACAAATTTCCAAGGTAAACAATTTAAAATATGATGGAATATGGTAGACTATGTAGGAAAAAATATCTGTCCCTTGGAATATCTGTCCCTTGGTAACCCGCTCATGGGCTGGTCCTTTGGGGCGGATATTCCGATCCGAACTGCAACATATGACAGATATTATAATTTGGTTTCATAGTGATATTTTAGAAAGTGTTCTATTATCAGATAACTGAAATTTTAATCCAAAAAAAGGAAAAAGATTTTGGCCAAGCCATGACACGGTAAAAAACATGGCCAGGACTAAGAATGCAACAAAAGATTCATTTGTAAAAAAAAAAGCTATTTAATTTATTAACAATGACAACATTGAACCAAAAACAAGGTTGATACATGTATAGGTATGAAATTAAAACATACACATCAGATGACAAAATACACAGACAAGGCACCTACAATATTAATATACTAGTGCATGTATAATTATAAAATAAAATAAAGTCTTTAATTTGTGTATTTAGTACTAATTACTAAAGCTTAACAATTACTGTTTAATCTTAATTCTGTAAGAAAATACTATACATATTACATATTTAATCATTTTGTATTCATAAAAAAATGATTTAAGATTTATATATAAAAAAATAAATTGAATAGTACAAAGTTAAGAATTATTATTAACTGAATTTTAAAAAAATTGTACTTCGATAATTTTGATATTTGATCTTAAATTTTGATGTTTATATATATAGAAAATCTAAAAATCTATATTGTGAAAAAAAATCTCGAAATCAAAGAGAAAAAACATTTCAGGAGTGTTGTTCTATTTACAGCACAAATGAATAGGATTCACATGATTTAAATTTCAAAATGTGCATTCATCATCATCATAAAAAAATTTGATAAATGTTGTAATGATTGCAATGAAATAAAACTGAACTACTTATTTTCAAGAATTTGATAAATTCATGAAAATAATTCATAATATATCGTATGCCATCAAATATTAATTAAATATTGATTCATAGATACACAAAATCACCAATGATAGTGCCCAGAAATACCGTGTATATTAAAAGTTTTTTCTCCATTGTTTAATCATATTCATATCACATCACTTCTTCTTCTTTAACTCTTCGAATCTTCGTGACAAGTCATCGAAATCAACGTCATCACCACCAGCAGATGTTGATCCAGGCGGGTCTGGTAATGTACTGTTTGGTACAGCTGGTAGGTCAGGAAAACTGTCCATAGGTCTTTGCACTTGTTCTGTTATGGAAAGAGAATGAAATATGTCTATAAAACTGTGTTGTGAATACTGAGTTGAGATAAACCATTATCTACATTTTATTATACACTGTTTGGTCAGTATCACCTATATATCAACATGATTGGTTTTCAAATATTTGTTACACTACCTAAATGACCCTGAAGTTCATTTAAAATCTATGCGCACACATGTATTGACTAGTCACTAATGAAGATAACTTCAACCTAACTCAACAAAAACTTTCATAAACTAAATTTCTTGTCCAAAGTCAGTGATTCAAAGCAAAATTATTCAGTAGACTAAACTAGTCAATGATATGTTTTTTTTTTTAAAATCTTTTTATTCAGTTTTTCTTTTAAAACATTATTCAGTTAGATTTTACACAGCTAAAACATAATTATATATTTTGATGATAAGTTTGATGTTATATGACATCTAGCCATGTGACCACTGAGAAAATAAGTTTTTATTCAACATAAAAAAAACAACTGTATTGTGAATCTGGCTATAGATATTTTTCTTTAATTTACAAACCTAAAAATAAAGTGTTTTTTTTTTTTGTTCCATTTCACTTCTCTCAAATTATCTTAATTTCTTAAAATAAAAGTTTTGATTTCTTCTTAGTTTAACTTTTTTTTAATTACCATTACATGCAACCAGGTACGTATATTATACGTACCTGATGCAACTACCAAAACAATACAGTTTAAGAGGTGATATATATAAAGGGAGAATATTTTACTGCTTTAATGATCATTTTGACCCATGCAAAACACATTTTAAATTGACCCATGCAAAATATCTGTGACTAGTACAATATATTACAAGACATGCAAATATAGCCCTATAAAAAATGTTTAAAAAGTCAACCACAAAAAAATTGCAATGGTATGCCCAATTTGGCTGTGTGCGACAACTTTCAATGCCTCACCTTTCACTTTGATGACATGCTTATTTTTCACAAACAAAAATTTCTGAAATCTGCCATAATACTAACACACAATACATATACATAACTTTTTAAAATAGCACTACATGCACTGTTTATATAATTTCACAACATTCCACGTGATGATGATGATGATGAATTACCCAACTTACAGTGCAGTGCTTCAAATATCTACCGAATAACACAGACATTGACAGGGTTTGCAATTTTGTAATTGTAACCTTTTTTGTAATTGTAACCTTCATACTGATCCAACTTTACAAATGAAAGTATTAGATATGATAAAGATAAAACAACTTTTCTAGCCCCACATTTTACATCACTTACACATGAAATGAGCATTTAACAAATTCAAATAACTAAAAAATATATGACATGTGGAGCTGAGAAGCCTTTTTGTATATACATAATTGAGCCGCTTCATGACAAAACCAACATAATGCATTTGCGACCAGCATTGATCCAGACCAGCCTGCGCATCCGCGCAGTCTGATCAGGATCCATGCTGTTCGTTATCAGTTTCTCTACTTGTTATAGGGTTTGTAAGCGTACAGCATGGATCCTGATCAGACTGCGCGGATGCGCAGGCTGGTCTGGATCCATGCTGGACGCAAACGCAGTATGTTGGTTTTGTCATGGCGCGGCTCATGTATGTGTTAGCCATTGCATCAACTAATGCCTGACTTACTAGGAGATGGGGGGCGTGTACTGTAAGCTGGGGGTGGAGAATGCTCATTTGGTGGTGCAGATGCCGATATACCTGACCCAGGGGGCGGGTATCCAGGACTGCCCGCTGCAGGAACGCTTGGTACAGGGGGAGGCATCTTGTACTCATTCTGAGGCTGAAATAAAAACCCAAAGCATTAGAACAGAAATGATTTAAAAAAATTCAATAACATTAAACTTAACTTATGAAGTATTGACATAATTCAATCTACACAGTTCAGTATCCTTTTTATCAACTGTATAATATTATAAGCTGTTGAAGTGAATCTAGATATTTTTCTATTACAAATATTTTAAAAACAGCTTTATCTTTTGAATTTTAATTAAATCAATTAATTTAAATCTAGATGAAGAACCAGATATGTTCAAAACCGATAGATCTTTATTAAAAATTTTGTTCACATTTATTTGGTGTTGATGTGTGGTTTCTTTGTATTCTTCCTTTTCATGCAGTAAATTTAATTAAAGTTATAGTATAAAATTTATACAATATTCAATAATGCATAAAATTCTTCTAAGATACATGTACTTGTTAATTCTTAATAAAACAAATTCTTGAGATATAGTTTATAGATAGTGACAGACCTGTTGTGACTGAGGTGGAGGGTAGTACATGGCTCCTTGTGACGGAGGTCCGGGAGGCTGAAATTCACAACAACTCAAACTATTTCAACATTTAAATTCAATACATGTACAACAAATATTACTCACTTTGATTTAAATGCAAGAACTACTTTTATCAGCAAAATGATCGTTTAATACATTAAATTCATGTTTTAACATTATAATTAATCTTAACATCCCCAAAAATATATTTAGAATATGATGTCAATCCTAACAAAACAGAATGAAAAATAATGTTTTTTTTTTGTTTTTCTGTTTTTGTTTGTTTGTTTTATCAATCCCTTTACATTATTTAAAATGACAGTCACAATCAGTTATTATGTTGCTTCATGTAATTACATACTTATTCATTATTACCAATTTTTAAATGAATCAACTTTATTATGCTGTAGACTTTAAACCAAAACTGATCATTTATTAATTAGTAAGTTACAGAACATTTTTTTTTGAAAATCTAAATCAATATTTCAAAGTTTAAGTACAAAATCTTTGTTGCAAAATTGAGAAAAATATTTATGTATTATTATATATATGTACCTGAGGCTGTGGAGGGTACTTCTGAGGTTCAATAAACCCACCTCCACCAATGCCGCCAGCACCATAGCCACCGCCACCACCACCATAGCCACCTGACCCACCACCACCATAGCCACCTGACCCACCACCACCTTTCTGATTCTCATCTAAATCAATCAGCAAATTCTCAGCTGAGAAGATTTCATCTTGTGCCATAACAGATGCATCCGGCTCAAAGGGCACATTGTATGATCTTGCTATCTCAATCATGTATCTCTCAATAAGAATTTTGGGTGGTGCTTGAACACCTAGTTTATGCATCACTTTTTCACTAACATTGTTCAATGCATTTGTGCGACAAGCTTGTCCAAACTCTTTTCCATATTTTCTTGAAAATTCATCAGCAATAGTTTTAAGTTCAGCACAGTCTGTTTGAAGTCTTGGTGCTGCCCATATCATACTTGCTATTGCCTCTTCAAGTCCTGGATCCAACTCTCTACAATTCAAATAAGATCAAAACTCATGACAGTATAAAAAAACACTTATGCAGCAGTGAATTCTAATCAAGGCCCATCCACAGTTTAGTCTGGTAATAAAATCACATTTAAATTCCAAAATTCTTAATCAGATATGGTCAAAGCTGGGACAAAATACAATGGGACAAGCAACTGGATATTAGTGTTACATTAACATTTGATCCAATCAGGAGCACATACTGCCATTTTGTCATTTTTATTGTTGTGAAAGAGTTAATAAGATACCTATTCACAACAATAAAAATGACAAAATGGCATCATGTGCTCCTGTTTGGATCAAAAGTCTGCTTCATTAAAAGAAATTTTCAATGCCTACTTAAAGTGATAAAGATAAAAAATTTATTACAAATGTATTGCATCTACTGTATTGAAATGATTTAATAATGTTTCAGTTTATTTCTCTTTGTATTTTCGCACAGACTGTGCTTATCAGAGTGTCACGGTTCAGAACTGTTCACCAGATAGGGAGGAATATGTGTTAACTCAGATAGCTCAGTTGGTAGTGTCGCAGAAATGTATTCAGAGGGTTTGAGTCCCAGTCAGGCTACACATTTTCTCATCCTGTGACATTTGGCGCCCAACATGGGGCCATGATATATAACTCCGAGTTCAATTTCACATTGTTCTCTTTACCCATTAGAAATTTGAGGATGAATTTCAATATAGCAAGGGGAGTATGTGAACTGTTAACTAATTAGAGGAAATATGTGTAAATGACCGGAAAGCTCAGTGAGTCAGTAGGTAGAGCCGCGCAACTGTATTCTGATGGTCTGGGGTTCGAGTCCCAGTCAGGCTGCACATTTTTCTCACCCTGTGACACCAGGGAAAAAAGACTTCTGATCATCAAACAACAATAACTATTATATACACTGGAATTATAAAGTATTCACGATATTAAATAATATCTTTGTTTAAAATAAAAAAAAGTTTGCATATTCATTCTTGTATTACTGCAGTAGTCTCATCAGTAGGTTATTTATTTAAATAATGCTGTACGGATAGGCAGATACAATGTAGGCTTGTTGTACATGACTCACATGCATATGGCTAGAACTTTTGGCTAGCAATACGGGTCCGAACAGCTAGCCACTGCCTTGTATTAATTTAAAGTTAAACAAGTCCTGGCAGTAAACTTCAGTTAGTTGAAGGTGGCCAGTATATTGGAAGAAGAAGAAAAGTTCTCACAATCTGCAACTTACTTTTGAGTCTGTATCAGACCAAATCTGGCTAACAGTAAATCACAATACATTTCTAGTAATTCCATTGCTTCAACAAGATAGTCCTCTCGGACAATGTGCTCAACCCTGATCCTGGCCCGGTCATCTTTGCCACCTGAAATATAATCTGCGATTTCTTTTCTGGCCTTTTGTCCAATTTCTGTCTTTTTCTTTTCCAAAAGTTTCAACCGATTTATTGTTAAACGTAAATTTGTTTTCAGTTTATTGTAATTTGGTGAGCTGCTAAACATTTTGCGAGTTAATCCAAAGGCAACCGATTGCTTAATACATCAGGTAAACATGAATCAATGTGTTTATATTGATATATAGTCATAGGACTCTGACTTATTAGTTACTTCCGTGTTTTTATTAGACTGGTTTCCATCAGACCCTAATCTTCTTTTTTTCTTGTACTTACTATGAGAAATTTCCCACATAGAATACGCAGCATCAGCATAAACGAAGTTATTCAAAGAAAACAAAACTTAAAATAATTAGTAAATGATTACATAATCAAAATAAAACTACCATACTTTGATGCCTACAACGACATAATAACATTAAAATATTTGATTATGCCTATACCAGTCTATATTCTTGATGCGAATCATTATGTTGTGAATCGTTAATGTGGCGAATATATTACCTTCTTGATACTACAACACTAAATGTTTGTACCACACGAATTTACCCATATTTTTGACTTAAATAATCTTGACAAAATGGGAGTAGAAATGGGAAAGTCCTTTAACATTGACAAATGCCATGTCATGCATTTTGCTAGCCACTGTAATAAAATACACTTTCACAGTCAACATCTTCAAAACTGTCAACCAAGCTACTTGAGCTATGAGTTGAAATCACTCCAGGCCTCTCTGGTCACACACACACACACACACAGATATATATATATATATATATATATATATATATATATATATATATATATATATATATATATATATATATATATATTATATATATATATATATTATATATATGCGATAAATCTATTTATAGCCATTCTCAGTTACGTAATTACTAGGGTACTGTTGTACTGAATTCAATTGTGGGTAAAAAAGGGGCAAAAAAAATAAACACATTATTTTTTCTATACTGCAGTATGTGTTTGAATTGTTTTTTCATTAATAATTATGTATTGATTCTTATGTATGAACTGTACTAGAACTTTGTGTTGCTCTGTGCTATGCATGTGACTAATTGTATGTAAAGTAATTGACATTTATTATCCCTTGCATTTGTATGTATGCAAACAGAGAATATGTAAATAAAAACTTGAAACTTGAAGATTCCATTTTATTTTCTATATAATGAAAATTTATCAGTTTTTTTTTTTTTTTTTTTTTTTTTTTTTTTTTTTTTTTTTTTTTTTGTCATTGTTTACAAGAAGTAAAAGAAGATCCATTTTTAAGTCCATCGTGAACTTTGATATTACTTTAAAAACATATTTATAATAATTTGTTGCATAATTGTCCCTATTTTTTCGATAAATCAACCGTTTTGTTACACTTCGGCCAAAGTTCGTGATATTCCGGCCAAGTTCGTTTAAATGGATTGTTACTTTAAGTTTTATATAAAAGCCGGACATAGAAAAAATGTCTTTCGTCATCTTTGCAAGAGACTTTTAATTTTTTGGATTTTATTTGAGTCTACATTTCAATTGTATGTTTATTTGATATGTATAATTTTGGATATGGTTTTGTGACCTTTATCATTAATAAATATTTATTGAATTATTTAACAAAAACATATCTTCATTTTCACGCAATCATTAAATCAACATCACTTGCATTCTTTGTGTTTAATCTGCCCGGCCAAGCTTTCAAACATCACATGGGCTTATCCAAATAATAGAGAAAAAAATCCCTAAAGAAAACCCCAGCACGGCAAAACTGAAAATTGTTGGGCAGGCTAGGTTTGATTGGGGCCTGTTCATAGGACGGTTACTGGAAAGTGCAAGTTTACCGTCCCACGCCCCCCTGCACCGGAAGCAGAATTCAACATTTAAAACACGAAAAGATGGGTAAAATTTTGAATTTAGAAAAATCTGCAGATGTGTTCATTACGACGGTTTAAAACCCTTTTTTAAAAAACAAACCCGAAACCCCGGGGTTTGCCCACGAAAAAAAGGGTTAAATTTTTTTTTGGTAAAAGGGGGGGTTTCAAAGACAAAAAAATAATAACTTTTTTTTAAATTTTTAATTCATTTACGTTCAGTGTGTGAGTTTTTTGCTTTCAGGTCCCAGAGAATCTGGTCCTTTTGTATTTTTATCCAAATTTCAATGTGGGTTGACTTCCATTTTCCTCAGCGCTAAAAGAATGATCCCGCAGGAATTTAATTAAATACTTATTAAGGCGGGAAAGGGTCCCCTTAAATTTCCCTTAAACCCACATTTTTTCTTTTTAGTATTTTCAAATGAACAATCTTTTAAATACTTTTAGCATTTGGGGAAAATTTTAATTTCTAACAACTTTTTAAAATTGTAGGCAATTCTGTTTAAAACTGGACAAAGCCCCCGTTTCTATACAGTATACTATACAGAACACTATCGTGCTGAATAAATATTCCAATACAATACCGAAAAAAATACAGATGTTTGTGACCACACCCCTGAAATAAATGTATTAAATGCTGATCAGTCATGTACAAGTTGGCGTTGACTATGTATCACATTACAAATATCATCATTACCATGCTGCTCATTTGTAACGTTGAATTTCATTGGATAATCGTGGCGTTAATATTTTTATATACACAGTTGCTTCAAGTGTATGATTTTTTTTTACTATTTTGATATAAAAAGTTATTTTACAATATCAAAAACTTAGCGGAATAGAATTTTGAAAGAGTATATGGCGTATATCAGCATTTGTTTGCTTTCCAACCTGCACCTCGTAACATGCATTGCTCCACCGTATACAGCTTAAGACGGCTCACCTACACAATATGTGTTAAAAAATCCGAGTAAATAGCAGATAAAAAAACACAAAGTAATATTTGCAAAAGTATTTCACCAGGAAAAATATTTGATACGTTATTAAAAATTTGTCATTGAAGCTGCATTGATATAAATTTCATTAAAAACAGAACGAGCTGATAATAGTTCTTATTTGCATATAATATTAAAATTCGTATACGAACTTTAGTATTACCATGGAGTTTTTTCCAAATAAAATCGTAATTTATTAACAATTTTTGATGAGAATTACAACAATACTGTTAAAAAGGTTCATGAAACTGTAAAATGCTTGGTTTTTAAGTAGACGCAAACTATTTTTACATATTCATTAAATGCAGCTTTAAGATAAACATAGAAAAAAAGCTTTACTATTTCATAAATATTTCTATCTCATAACACAATATATTAATTTTAGCCATGGGGACATCATTTTACAACCATCTATCGTGATAAAATAAATAAAAGATATATATTTTGTTAAAAAAAAAAAAACAACAAAAACAACAAAAACTTTATTAAATTAAATATTTTAATGTTTTAATGGTAATCTAACTTTTTTTCCTTTATAATCCATACATTTTAAATTCAAGTATCAACATTAGAAGTTTTAATTTCCATTACAAGACTTTCGAATGAGTGGATGTTGAATCTTATAAATTATTTAATGGCTAAAACATAGTCATTGTTCTTTTTTTTATAGAGTGGGGAAGAGTGTTTTTGCGGAAATAAAATAAGGCATTGTAAAATGACAGCACATTGTACCTACAAATGTAGAGGTAACCCGGATGAATACTGTGGTGGTGATTGGCAAATTATGATATACGTCACAAAGTGTAACTATTTTTTTTCATTCGTTTAACGTAAAAAGGATATTGCAAAAGCGAATATATTAAACACTATCTAAAAATTAATAAAATGTTTAGAGGAGAAGGTCAAAATAATTTACATTTGAATAAAAATGAAAATATTAAAGTTTATTGTTGAAGCGAAATCATTTTGACAGCAAAACGGCATTTTTCTAACATCAAATGTTCTAATTATTAGTCACATTTTTTTGCTATTTAGGTTGTACCGTTAAATTATTACTTTCAAGATTTGAAACATCTTTATTACTGCTGAAGTTATATTGTTTTTATGCCTTGTGCTTTTAATAGAATATTTTCAAGCCAATAAAAACAATTTATATTTAGTCATATAAACGGGTTCATTACTATATTCAAAAGCATTATAAAATACGTTGACAACATCATTACAGAAATAAGTGCGAGTAAAACACGCCCGTGACTGAGACTAGCAAAAGTCCAGTCCACAGTCGAGTGTGAATCACGTGACTGAGACTAGCAAAAGTACCGTTACAGTCGCAAGTGTGAATCACGTGACTGAGACTAGCAAAATAACCAGGTCCACAGTCGAGTGTAAGTCCATGATTGAGAGCAGGAAGTACCATTTCAAAAGCCATCAAAAATCTGATACTTTTATCTACACATTAAACCACCGTGAGGAAACGAACACAGGTTCGAAGTTCTTTTCCTCGTAATGATTAATGATAAGAAATAGAAAAGAGATTCAGTAAATCTAGGGGAATTCTAAACTAGAATCTTGTAAAATTTTTTCGTTCATATTTGATATTCCAAACGTTATCATTACATCATTTTCAATATATATGTAATGTAAACTGTCTTGTATCAAAATAAACAAAATGAATGGTATAATCTGTCCAAAGAACATAGGAAATTGAACACTAATTTTATTAATGATAATGACAAGACTGTAAAGCTAGTATCAGCTATTCCACAGTAGACTATTTGCAAAATTAATGTAATCACATTTCATGATTAATTAATTGGTTTCTCATTCAAATTTATTATGTAACAATTACGACAACAAGTATAAGATTTGTACAGAAGAGATAAAAAAGCTGAAATAGGAGTTTATAACTCCTACGTAGGAGTTAAAAACTCCTAATTAGGCTTTTTTATCCTACGTAGGAGTTATAAACTCCTTATTAGGCTTTTTTATCCTACGTGTGAATTATAAACTCCTAATTAGGCTATCTCCGACGTAGGTGTTTTCATTTTTTATAGAACATGTTAAATTGGCACCAGGACGCTTCCGTATAAAATCCCTAAATTAATTACTATTTAAAGTGACATTATACCCATCCAAGGACAAATAGCTAATGAAATGGTGAAAGTCAAAATAAGTTTTTATTTTGCCATAATTCAATTTAATTTAATAATTTACTTTGCATAAACAATAAATAACGCACGAATCCAAGCAAAATTTATGTAAATATCCATTAGAATTTACCTTTAACGTTCAGTTTATAAAAATAGTAGGGCAGTCTTTTTATTCTTTAGGCACATTTAAATTTTATCCTACACATTTCCCAAAATCAACTGT